TTTAGCTCTTATTTCAGTAGTCCTGTGGAAATATTGATTTTCCCTCCATGCAATACCTGAGTTATGGATAACTTGAGTTACACAGAGAATTGCAATATGGAATATCAGAAGAGAAAGTAGATAAGAACAAAGAATAAATCATGATTTATGATGATGCATGATTTCTCTTTGGAAAGACATTTTTATAATCATCATAAATAGTTCCTTCAACCTCAATTTTTATAATATTCTTTTTAGGATACCTAATATTGACAGGGCAATGAAATTTTACCATGATAAAAATTTTCATGAAACTATTATTCTATTTTAACAGGCCTCCTTGTATCAATCCTCTATAGACAGAAGCCTGGAAAGACCCAGTAGGTAAGAATCTCATTAATATGACACAAGTAGAATATTCTATACCAGTGTTTTCTTTTTCAATTGTAATATTATTCAGTGTAATAGTATTGAGGATTGTGTATCACTCATTTTTATGTTAAGAACCATGCCTCATGAAGTTGTTTTATTTTGTCTCTGCATAATTTGATATGATCATATTCAAGAATTTGTAAAAAATATTAGTGAAATAAATCTGGATTCCTTCACAGCTTAAGAAATTCTTCCCTTCCCTGTCTCTGCTATACTGTTTTCTTTTCTTTAGATGGGGATTATAAATAATGAATTTTTCAATGTTGTTAGGTGGCCTTTATGATAATATATTTGAAAAAAATTTGTAGATTAAAAAGTGTTATACACATATTTGTTAATTATACTCAGACTACTCAAATCAGAAATGCTTTTACTACCAATAGGCTTACTATATACAAGGCATGCTAAGAACATAAACATATTCAATCCTAAGACAACACCATGGGTTAAATAGCATTGTCCCCACTTTATCTCTGAGAAAAATTAGGCTCAGTAACTTTACCAAGTTTACACAGTCAGCAAGGAGAGAGACAAGATGGAATTGAACCAAGATGGCTTGTAACTAGTAGGCCTAACTACCCTCAGAGTCTGCCCAGGGTTAGTCCTGTTAGTAAGCTTTAAATATCACACTTACTTTAAAATATTACAAAATCCAGATATCGTTCAATAGTAATATTGAATAACACATACTCCCAGCCATATTGTATGATCAACAACAAATATTCATATAGTAGCATAAAGTTACCCTCCTGTACATTTCTATCAACATGAGCAGAAACTCTGTGAATTGGGTGCTTCTTAAATTGGACTGATGAGTGCCATCCAAGTACTATCACTAAGGAAAAAACTACCCGAGCCCCCCTTTTTTATCTTATGCATCTATATGTGCATACAAAATGTTTGAAATGTTTCAATTTTAGAGTTTTAATTTGCCCTAAGATGGGCTGTAAAGGTACACAGATGCTCACATGGCAGGAAAGTCACAGCAAAAACAGGTCCAGGAGATGGGGCATCCTCTTTAGGAGAGTACAAATTCTGAAGTCTGTCCCACTTCCGTACGTCCCCGGCATGTGTGTTTGGTGTAGTCATTTGTGAAACTGTGATAACAATGCATACATACCTCAGGTTTGCTGCGCCGGGTTAATTAAGACAAAAATGTAATAAAGCACGTAACGTTCTGCTGGGCTCCGTGGGAGCTGCTGTTGCTGTTGCTGCTGTTACTGCTGTTTACATAATTTTATCCAGTGATTCGATATGTTGTGGTTTCTGTCCCTTCATTCACTAATGTTTGTCTTAAATGATGTTCTACTCAAACTCAAAACTGTGATACAAACTCCCTGCCATTTTAGACTGTTGACACCATTTTATGCAACAGAGGGAAAGGAATGCTTAATAGTTTATTTGCTGACCAGATTACTGGTCGTTCATTATTTCAATATGAAATGTTGGAATTCTGGTATACGGTCTTCCAAAGCTAAGATTAGCAGGAGAAGCTGCAGGCAAATCTTGAGGTAAGAGATGTTGGCCTCCCAAGATGTCTTCCTTTTTTCTAGTTCTTTCCTCCCTTTTGGCACTCCCCGATGGATGCGATCATGCTGTTGGAGCTCTCCTTTGCAGAGAAAAGATACATGATAAAAATCATGATGCTAAATTCTCAGCCACAACATAGTATGCTATCAGAAAACTTTGACTTTAAAAAACACTTAACAATTTATGTTCACACAAAAACCTGCACATAAGTGTTTACAGTCACATTATTCATAATTGCCAGAACTTGGAAACAACCACGATGTCCTTCGATAGGTGAATGGATGAATAAACTGTGGTACGTCCATATAACAGAATATTATTCATCAATAAAAAGAAAGGAGCTCTCAAGTGACGAAAAGACATGTAGAAACCTTAAAAGTATATTACTAAGTGAAAAAAGCCAATCTGAAAGGCTACATTCTCTATAATGCCAACTATGACATGCTAGAAAAGTCAAAACTATAGAGATAGTGAAGAGACCAGTGGTTGCCAGGGGCCACAGGGAGGAAGGGAGGCACAAAAAGGGGCAGCACAGGGAATTTTCATAGCAGTAAAATGATTTTATATGACACATTAGTGATGGACATATGTCATTATACATTTTTCAAAACCCATAGCACGTTTACCACGAAACACAAACCCTAAAGTAAATTATGGCCTTGGGATGAAGGTGTGTCAAGGCAGGTTCATCATTTGTAACAACGTGCACATGAAGAGAAGCTGTAAATAATAGGGGAATCTATGCTGAAGAGGAAGGGAGTATAAAGGAATTCTCTACACTTTCCAATCAAGTTTTCTGTATGCCCAAAACTGCTCTTAAAAAAATAAAATCTATTAAGTTTTTTAAAAGATGATTCTAAGGAAAGCATGTTTAATGTCAAGGAATGAATTCCTAACGATGCAGCTTTGGAGTGGGAGTTTAGGAGTTACACCATGTCACTAGCACCTCCCACTGGTCCTTGTGGTGCACATGTGAGCCTCAGGTACCAACCAAACTGACGTGACTCCTTCTTTCAGTTCTGCAAGCATGGCCAGTGACTTTAGGAAACGGAGGAAGAGCGAGCCTGCAGTGGGTCCCCCCAGGGGCTTGGGAGATCAAAGTGCAAGCAGGACAAGCCCAGGCCAGGCGGACTTCCCAGGATCAAGCGCCACCCTTACAAAGCCTTTCATTAGTTCTTCTCCTTCTTCCCCCTCGAGAGCAAAAGGTGAGCAACGATAAGCAGACATGCAGACAATGTACTCGTGTAAGTATTAGTCTGGAGAACCACGTGAGAGCTGGTCCAGTGACAGTGACATGTGCCAGCTTTCACCTACAGTGTCTTGAATAAAATCTAGTTTCTGAACAAGAGCTTTCTTCCTACCCAGGCTGACTCGAGCTGCCAAGCCACTTGGGTTGCTTAAGAGATTCTCATTAGCATCTGTTAATGTGTTTTTTCCCAAAATCAATTTTTAAACAAATTCCAAGTATCAACTAATTTATTGCCAGGCTATTAAAAGATGACCTTTATAAATATTTACATATA